AAGTGCACATTTAAAGCTCTTGCTCGCTATATGCATAAAAAAGAAGCACACATAAAATCTTCTTTAGACAATAAAAAGATATCAATTATAATAAATTATACTAAATCAATTATACTAAATTGCTTCAATAATATACATGAAATGTATATTGAAATCTATCAGAGTTATATCAACTTTTAAATTTTATGGAAATTATTATAATCAAGCCTCAGACGGTCATATTCAATATCATTATTTTCCGCTTGACTACAATTTACGAAAGCAATTGTTCCCACATTATTTTGCTCTAACGCTAAGGCATTTTATGGACATCGGCAATCTCAGTACCGATCAACCGAAGTAAAGTACTTTTTCAATCTGTTCGAATCGATCGGAGTTCGCCGTCGAGCAGACCTATCCATCTGTCTGTCTCGTCTTCGCTCGCTCGGTCGGAATTCTACGCTTCAGTATCCCATGATTTCCACGTGATATCCACGCGTGTTACGTGCTAGATCCCACGCACGGTCTCGTCTCCGTCGAGGGCAATACACCGAGTGAACCTAACGAGATTTCAATAGCCTGATCCTTGCTGTCGGTTACCGCAAATAGGCTCGATCCTGCGGTAACGTCTAGCGAACGATGAATGCTAAGCATAGAAATGCGGAAATACTTCGTAGCGAGAGGGATAATGTGCGGTAAATAGAAGAATGTTATGAACTCACATGAGATACTCGCGCACTGCTATACTTGTCGGTCCGGCACGCGGTATCCCTCGAGAGGTCACAAAAGCAGAATGTACCGTTTTAACACGCCCGGTAAAAATAATTTTGACTAAGCGAAGAGGATAATATATTCTCTGTCTTAATAAAGGACAGATATCATCTAATTATCGTCTCAGCGAGACCAGCTATGAGAATAGCTGGTTACAAAATTAATTTACGTCAAAATGATTAATTTGAAACGTTTCAGAACGAGATCGTTTATAAATTTTAAATTGTGTTTCAGCATAGAAACACACGTGTACAAAGATTCCAAGCTACACAACAAATCTAATATTTTTCACGTAGATCATTAATATAATTTCTTGCTGGTAGCTATCACGATAATGACTCGTTATTTCGAAGAGTAAGTAATTAACCGTAAGTAATTAACATTTCATATATTTACCTACAAAAATTTTTTGACAGGAGTGTCAACGAATTGTCGTGTTGCAAGTGCATCCGTATAAAAAACATTGATTTTTAATTTATGCACGCAATTTAATTCATACATGCGAGACTTATCGCTCAAGCGTTAATTTACGATTAGTTTTCACGAATTTCACTATGGCTTCGAGGCATCGAGTAGAATCGAAAATAAGAAGGGTGAAAAGAAGGAGGAACCGCAGATAGCTGAGTGTCATTAATCAAGGCCCTCAAATGCACTAAATCACCCGCGAGATATAAATTACCGCGGGCAATCTGGTATCAATAAGGCGTAATTCGGGATAATAGGGCGTGCGAGAGAGGGCGGACGTGCGAGAGGATATATAACTCCTGATTTCCGAGGGTGCTGTAGATTTCGATTAACCCGAGTCCATCCGCCTGTCCGAGCCGAGTCGCGACATTTCTCTTCGTTACACTCCTCTCGTCTCTCGAGCTTTCGATCCTTCGCCTTCGTATAAATGATTTAACGGACGCGCGCGCACGCATTACAATCCAACTATTCTCCGTTGCAAATGTGAAAGCGACTATCACGGTGTGTAAGAAAACGTCAAGATAACGAAAGCTAACGCAGATGTCTGGTCAATCACTCTTACGCTCTTCAGCGAAGATAAAATGTAAAATATGCATTAATGGATTTTAATATTTTTATGGATTTAAGAATGATTATCATTTTATCAAAAGATGAGAGTCATGTCATTTCATTAAGTTATAATCTTCAAAATCAAAATATCATTAATCTATCTTCTTATTAAGTCGTGTGAAGGAGATTCGGTGTTATTAAAATATTAATCCGGATTTTATCTAAAGAAAGAAGAACTGTTATCGTTACCGTAGAGTAAATGAATCCTATTTCCGCTTACTCATGCATCTATTTTCAAAAAGATAAAGCATAGTCTGATTTAAACAGTAGTGATCGTAAACAGTATTAATGCTGTTAGTGCTATTAAATAACTATAAAAACTTAATATTCAATCTTATTTTTTAGTTTTAATAATTGTTCTTGTGGTTTAACGGCGATTTAAAGAGAGCACAGAACTCAACTCGATATATATATATTCATGTAAAAAAAAAGAAACGCGTAAGGCAATAATATCCAAATCAAAGTACAGATCGTCCGAAGCTCTTCCCTTGTATCGACAAATCGCGAGATTCGTCGGTACGATACGACAAGCGGCGCGGCGCAGCGCGGCTAATTAGTTATCCTCGATACATCTGGCCGATGGATAATTAGCCGCTACGGTTTATATGTGCGATAACTCGCCGCTCGCGCGCGCGCGCGCGCGCGCGCACGTTCTCGATGACCCGCTGGGATTTGTTTCCGCCCGTGAAAACAATTTGTTTCTCATTCCATCGGAACCGAACCCCGTCATCATCGGCGCCAGAATGGGATAAACCCTTCCCTCTCGCGCCCGCTTCTCCCTTTCGACGTCTGTCCTCGTTCCTCCCGCTTCATTTCCACGGCCCTATTACATCGTTATTAGGCTCGTAACAGACGTGTAAGCGTTCCGGGGAACACCCCACTGGGTTATTAATGGTGACTCTTTGTTTTTTCATACTCTCCACGCCCGATAGCCACGGTGTACTCTTTTTCTCTTCTTCTCTTTTTTCTCCCTCCCCCCCCCTCCCTTCCCTCCCCCTCTCACTCTCTCTCCGTCCTGTTCACTACCTTCTTCTATCATTTGTAACGGTCTCTTTCTTCCTCTCATTAATTCAAGATATTTCGCCGTTTCTTTCCCCCTTTATCTTCCCGTTTCCGTTTCTCACTCTTTCACATCTTGAATAAATTAATGTAAACGTAAGTACTAAAGTAGGTGTCAGGTATTCTGATGCGAATGAGCCTCTGCCTCGCGCGGTGACAAATTGGTACAAACAGGTAAGGGGATACCTATCGCGCCCCTATGATACTCACGAGAGAGAACAATCGTTGAAAGGGCGTGCACGCGCTCCTCAACATGAGAGAAAAAAAGAAGGGCTTCGCGAGAACCTACCTACGCGGCGGTAGAGATTTCGATAGTTGTCTTATTCTTGCTATACGGTTGTTTCAGCGCGCGTGCTACCATTCGTGTCGCCTGTCGTGAAATCTCCCATGAAATCTTTTCGACGAGATCTCAGATCTCTGGTCTCGATCGTGGACAAAACACTTATTCGCTTTTATGACTGTCGTGCGTTTCTTGTCTAAAGTTCTAGACTCTCGATTAGAAGCTATTTTTTTACGTGTAAAAAAGATTATTTAGAAGAAAGAAAATCTATTAATTCAGTTCATCGATAAGATTTCTTGAAACTGAATATGCACAATCGATGAATAATGAGAAGATGACAAGCGAGTAGAATCTAATAAATAAATCGACTTCTTAAAGACGAAATCGATTACTTCATGACAATTCTTTTATTTAATTTTAATGAAGTGAATTCTTTAAAGAAGAGAATTTTAAATATGAAAATTCTATATATTATATACATTAATTATGAGAAATAAAAGTAAGTACTTTTGATGTACTCTTATAGTTATATATATCTTTCTCAATATATGCGAATCCCTAATGTCGAACTAAATTTAACCCTTGATACCGCTTCTCTCTTGTTTACTTATCATTTCAATCTATAAGAAACTAAAATATCGTCACGATTCGCTCAATCCTGCACTCATCGACTATAAATCCGCTTATTATCTATCACACTAACGATCAGCGTGATCGTTAGAGATATATCTAACAATTGCATTAGTCTCTGTGGTTGCTAAATATGTCACTAATAAATATCCTAATCATCACGCAACTACAAGGGCATTTTTGATGCACTTTCTCAAGCGGAGAGAACACCGTGAGCGACTCACCTTCGCAAGTGAATTGTCCGTAATGTTTGCCGCTGCTTTTATCTCCGCAGACGACGCACTCGATGTTCGGTGATTTATCCGTTTGCGAGCTGCCGGACTGCGAGCTGTTGGCTTGGCTGCCGGGGGTAGTGCTAGGTGGCAAGGGATCCCTTGAGGTCAGGACCGAGCCGGCAGGCACCAGACAGGTGATGTCTTCTGGCGTAGCCGAGGGCGTCAGATGCGCGGGCGGCATCGGCGGCGGCGGGCCTACCTGAAGGGGTCCGCCGCCG